TCTTGGAAGTTGAAAAGGTTTAAATATATCAAAGATCCAAAGAATAAAATAAAATAAAGATGGAGTGCGCGAATATGACCCTCGTGCAAGATCCAATGCCAGTTGGACAACTAGTTTGAACGCCAGCTTCCTTCTGCGGTTCTTTATGAGGTAAGATTTCAGTGCACCGCCAGGACAATATTCGACGACAACACAACAAACATTACTTGGCATGCCAACTTGGCCATTATCTGCTTGTATGTGTAGCTCCGATGATCCCATTGTAGCCCCTATAAACTGCAAAGAAAGATTTGGCAAGAATAAGTTATATGGTGTTGACGTAAGCAAACCAATTCATATCACAATAAGACTCCAACTGGATCAAGTTTGTGGGTGCTCCACGCCATACTGAATCAGGCCAAGAAAAAAGCGACATTGCATCTTGAGAACCGACATCCACTTTAAAGTTAATTTTGTTTCGACACAGCTATCTTGTATTTATGTTGAATTCCAACACTACAGTAAATTCTGTAGATACATGGTTCTAACTAAGAGGTTAAAGAAGACAACGTATGAGAATGTTTCACTTATGCTTTTCCATTTAAAACGTTATATGAAAGCTCATAACATACAATAGTGAAGACATCGAAATGTTACCTTGGTTACATTAGGGTGCTCAAGCTTATGCCAGACAGCAACTTCTTGAGTAAAAGCTGCTCTTAGTGAAGCTATTTCAGCATCTGATCTATGCCCCTCTTCTCCCCAATCTAGAAGTTTAACTGGACATTGGAAAAAGAGGGAAAGGTAAGAGTTAACGTACAGGTATTTCTATGATTCAGGTTAAATTACACAAAAGATCAATGAAGGTTCTCTCGATCCTAAACAGCCACGTCAACAGTTTAATAAATACAAAACGTCAAGCATAATGAGACAGTTATCATATAAAGTATCTCCTACTGATCCAAGCCTAATTATGGTCTTCACCATAGATTAATTTGGACTATTTCCATTTCTTGGTTGAATTACTTTGAACGACAGTCTCACGAATGCTAAGATGACAACTCATCTGGCAGATTAGTAGCTAGCCAGTTTTGAGTCAATAATCTTCCTATGCACAGCTTGTGTCTCCAAGTGAGAAGTTAAAAAAGTGCATATCTTTATTAAATTAAGATGCAAGGGTTCTTTTTAATAGGAAAAAAGTGCAATTACTACAGCTAACTACCAGCTGCTCTCCCAATCCGTGAATCACGGACATTGTGCTGCAAGGGTCTATCACAAGCCCCTCTAATTACTAACAAAAATGCATAAGAGACACTTCCCCTCTGTTGTAGCTAATCAAATTCAGGACATTAAGAATAAGAACAACAACAAAAAATCAGAAGCCTTCAAGAAATCCCCGTGCGCATTGGAAAATAACGGTGAGATTCAAGGAACTAGCTTAAGAAAAAGTTGCAGAGAAGCCTGAAACTTCTATGACACCATTGAGATGGAGACAAAACGAGCAAGTTCAGGTGCTTCTCAAACAAAGCACTGTGCTTCCAAAAGCACTTCCATTTCATTTATGAGCCAAAAACCAATAGGTTTTAATTCATTGCATTCAAAAGGCTAGCTTGACATTGTTAAAAATTTCATTGGCCCTCAAACCCGAAAGACTCGATCTCAATCAGTCATACATATAAACAAACTAAAACATCCTGCGTTAAATACAAACCAATATAAACGTCACTATATTTTTCTACACACAGAAAACTTCAAAACAATGGCGTCCATGACGTCCAAAGAAGCAATCTCACACATGCATGTATATATCGAAAGGATGAGTTTTTCCAGGAAATATCAAATTTTTATGAACGGGTATTGATTTTCATCAAATGGGCACAATCAGAACCCAAACAAAATATAAAAATTCCAATGAAGAAGAAGTGTGGCAAAAGAGCAGTACCGGCGACGTCTTGGCCGTCGTAAATGCCACGGTGAACCGCGCCGAAAGTGCCACGAGCTATAGCGCCCTTGACGACGAGCTTGGAGGGATCAATCTCCCACTCTTGCCTTCTGGGAGTGTTACTCCTCGACGCCGCCACTGCCTCTTCGTCGTCCTCCGGCTTCTTGTTCTTCTCCATCGTCCATGCCCTGCTGAGGTGCCGCTGCAGCTGCTCGTCCAAGCTCTTCAGATCTATCTGATCCGCCCTCAAATACCCGCCTCCGCCTCCTTCGCCGTCGCTCTTCTCCTTCATTTTTTTTTCACAGTTTGGTGTCAGAAAGTGAAGAAAGCTCGCTGCTTTTGGGGTAGTCAGTCAGTCACTGTATCGAAAGCTGTCCGCTTCTTGTGAGGATGTTGCAGAAGGTGGAGGAGGAGAAGGGTTATAAATGGTGTCACCAAGATCAAGCAGTAGTAGTGTTACTCTGTTGCTTCTCTCGCCATCATCCATGTGGGCACATGGATTTTGCCTGAGGACGACGTGTGTTTCTGACCCACCTCACTCTCTCGCCCACTTTTTCCCTCTCTCTCTCTCTCTCCCTCCTCTCTTTTCTTCTAATGCTTTGTGTCCTTCATCATAATGCATCATTTACCTCATCTTCTATAAAGATGTGATTTTTGGCAAATTGTCGATGGAGATGTCTGACTATGACAACTCTTACATTTTACGGACGAGCGTAAGTTTAGGTGAGTTTTGGGTAAAATTAAAAAGAAACACTTAAGTTCTTACGTTTTGATGAAAGATGTCATACAAATTACATGGTCAAGTTATTAAACGCAAGATTTTCTCTTATCTTATCTTAAAAAGATCGATTCTGATCTATCTTGTTCTTGAGAGATTCCTAAATATAATCGCATACGTGTTTAGAGCTGTTTATAAAAGAAATATATCTCCAGCTACACATCAAACTCTCTCCCAGACCATGCCATAATCTGTGGATTTATGTGCAAGTTTTATTAGTAAGTGAATACTAATTTGGTTTATAAAAGCATGTTTAAGTGATTATTCTTAAATAGTGCGGTTTAGTATTCTTCTTATACTTGGTAGCATTTTTTGTTATTTTTCAGTGTGCTGGGAACACGGTCCAGTACACTTAGTATCATAATTTAAGTATCTAAACACTTATATTATGATATTTGTTGTACCATGACCTGATCTTGACACACTGAAAAATTCCTATTTGGTTAAAATTGTACATCATAGGCTAAGCCAAAGACAGAAAAACACATTTTAAAGGCATATGGTGCTTAAGCCAAAAGACATATGGAAAAGGCAGATGGTGCCCTAATAATCCCCACCATACAACCATCAATTCCTTTGTTTGTTTTGCTTCTCCATTTATACAAAAAAAGGGTATGGTCTTGTGGTGGGAGTGTGGAATCCCAAATTAAATTATTACCTCTCAAATTTGGTTAGGGTTGGCAAAGATTTTATATATAAAAATATGGTTTTTTTGTTAGAGTGGAAGAAAAGAGGATTTCGGTTGTGTGGTCCAGACTCCAGGCAATGTCTATGCCAAATTGAGGATGTTCTGTTGCATGGTTGGGAACATATTTGGTTCATATATGGAAGGTTTGGTTTCTCAGTTTTGTTTTGGTCAAGGCTTTGGTTTATCATTGAGAGTACTTTGAATCATGACAAAAAGTAAAGGGCCTTTAGCAATAGTGGACATTATCATGTTAGAATTTGACCTAATGAGATAATGAGCAACTTATTATTCGTTCTCAAACGGAATGTTACGATCAGTTGTTAACGCGCACAAATTAATTTAGTTGTCTATATTTTGTAGATCGACAAGCGTGAATGATCTTGATTAACCCAATTAGTCCTAGAATTACTTTGTTCTCAAACTACACCCACTCCCCTTTTTTTGGTCCAACCCTCAGTGCTTGTTAGTAGGAATGTCTAACCACGTTATTTGTGAAGTATCTATTATGTTGGTCTCATCCAGCTTCACACGGTCTCATTCAATATGAGAGCTACCCTACCAAATATCTTCTCTAATAAGACAACCATGCACTCAATGAAGAATTCTTAAACTTTATTAACATTGGTTATTAGCAATTTTTCTTTAGGACAATAGCAGCAGATAATGTGCCCTGATAACCAGAAAAATTGGATTATCAGGGCATATTTGTTAAAAAAAAAAGTAGAATAGTAGCAGATTCCCAGGTGAAAAGACCTTATCTTTGGCTCAATAAAAACAAAACGGTAATTTCGGAGTTAGCTTTTCCCATGAACATCAACACAATACATGTGACAGCCTTCACTTTTTGACTTAATTGGGCAACAAAAGCAGCAGAGACTGGTATTTTAGTCGGTCAAGGGGTTCACGGGAGGAGACAGACTTCTTGGATACTAAGAGAAAAGGCCCGTGATATTCAAGCACCCTGCCGACCAAAGGTTCCATCCCAACCCTAAAATGTTCAGATTTTTCTCTGCATTTAAACAACGGCGGGCATGTTTTTTTATGGAATTTAAAAAAAAAACTTCCGGTACTGTTTATTTTAACGAAAAATCATATTTTTACACTAAAAAATCAATCATGGTAGTATTCACTTTACCCTTTATTTTATTATTATCATTAAAACTTAAAGTTTTCAAGCCAAATTCATTAATTTTCTTGTTTTTTTTTTGGTAGTATTATTCACACGCCCTTTTTTACCTCTCACCCGCCCTTGTTAAACTTTATCCATTGATCTTCTTCAATTCATTCAATCCGACGGTAAAAATTGAGAACGGTGCGTGAGAGATAAAAATAGATGTATGGATAGCACCACCCTTTTTTTTTTTTTTTTGTCAAACGATAGATTTTCTTAGATTAGCCACCCACGGAATTTGAATCCACACTGTCATATAAGGGCTCAACACCCATCCATCACTATGGAAAATGGCCACTTGCCACTGGTGGGCATGTTTGGAAATGCTTCTATAGGGGCTATAAGTGTTTTCTGGCTATGATTGCTGTAAGCACCTAATAAAAGCACTTCTAATAAAAACACTTACGAACAAAAATGCTTCTAACATAAGAAGTCCCAAACAGACCCTAAATCATTCCCGTGACATAAATACTTCAGAAAGATATAATTATATGATTATAATACACGCCGACCATCAACACATTTGTCAAAAAGAAGGAGAACTTAGACCTAACACCTTTCAGAAGCTTACAGCTGAGGCCGTTTCACTAATATAAGTGAATGGTATACAAAAGTTGCACCTTGTAGTGTGGTATATTCCCAGTCGACTAATTGATAACGGCCATACCTATACAAAAAATATCCAAATTGATCCAAGTCTGAATTCCGGCTTACTAGATAACGGCGTAATCATATAAATGGCGGCGCCTCCATCATGCTAAGATACGACGCTTCTTTTTCTCTGGTGTTGCATGTATCTGTGCCTTGATCCCGTATGTTTTTAGCTGAAAGTTCTCAAAAGCCTCAGAGATTGCTCCGACCTGTACATTGTGTTGGAGAATATGAATATGTTTAGTCAAAGACGGTAAGGGAGAAGATAAAGCCAGTGATCAAACTGTGGTAATGTTTAATTTGACAGACCAGCTCAGGCTTTTTGGAGTACACACGCACAATCATATCTTGATATGATGTCGGCAGCAAGTGACTAATACGATCATCGCGTATGGTGAATTTTTCATGGCTATCGTAATCCTGAACAGATACATCAAACTTGTTTTCAGTGACGCACCAAAGACCAACCATAGAAAAGAACTGAATTTTCGCCTATCTGCATCCTACAGCTATCACTTGTTTATTAACACACAAATTTTGTTTCTTCCTGACTAGGTAAAGATGTGTCATTTAACAAGTTTCAATTCCACAAGTCTGAAATAGTCTACATTCCTTTCATTTTCAACGAGTCTCAAATTGTTTCTCTTTTCGTTTCATTTCTGTCGGCTCTCCGATATCAAAATTAATGACTATTTCATCTGAATTATGTATCCGTATAAAGGGTTTAGATACAAAAGACTACTGCATGGGTTTAAGAGACGTACCTGGAAAAAGCTTATACTGGAAGAGGTACATGCATTAATAAGAGAAAAAAGGGTCATTTGATGCTTAATAACAGTTGCACCGAAATATAGAACCAATGGCCTTTTAAAGGACATTCTCATCAAACCAAAAAAGGGAGAGCATCCTCAAGTACCTTTCAAGAGGATTATGTCTCCCACGAGTCAAATCAATCCTGACGTTGCTAACAGCGACATCCTCCTCTTTCAATGTCACTCCTCCATTTTTCTGTGAAAAAAGTAACATGGCGTTAGTAGTGAGACAATTTTTAGCAATGAAGAGACACACACGCATGCACTGAAATGGAAAGGACTGGTTGTCGCAACCTGAGAACAAACAATATCTTGAGCGGTGACATTTTTGAAATGCTCCATTTTTTCCTTGGGTACAGAATACTCGTTGCAAAACTGCCACCAAACATTATCAAACCACAATAGAGACCCATAAGTAAACTTTCTCAGATTATTCACGGTGTTCAGAAAAGTAGTGACCAGCAAAAACTTACCTGATAAAGATTTCTCCTCCTAATGCGTAGGATTAAGTCCCTAGCTTCCTTTAGTTCTTTGTTTGGAGCTGTCTCAATAGTTCTAATTATGGTGTCATCTAACTGCATTTGAATCATTTCAAGCATAGCATTCTAAGAATCAGGGCAATAATAAAAATGAAATAAAATGTAGTAAAATGCTCCTGATACCTTCCAGTACTGTGAGGGATCCTCAATCCGTGACGCAATGTCAAGAAAATCATTTGCTTTCACTAGGGCATCAACCACCATAAGCTCTATAGCCTACAAAAGCAGTTCTTTGTCAGATTCAAACACTGAACTCATCTGTACTGGGGATGCTCAAGAAACTATTTAGTCTATACCTTTACTTTCGGATGTGTATAAACTGTTCGATACAAATCAGCACGGGTAGCAAATAACTTGTGGATGGTAAGATCTAGAAATTTAGGCAACCATTAGCATGTAGAAACCGAAAATACAAAACTAATCTGATAAATGAATTTGACAAAATACTAACAATCTTTGGCACGATAGCATATTTCATCATCCAGAACCCGCATTGTCTCCATTAATCTGCAAGAGGGGGAAAAAAATATGATGATAGAACAGATCACCAATATATCACCCATGTATTCATCTTTCCTTCACTTGATAAGCAGCCGTAAAATGAATTTGGTTCAGCTTAGTTCCTAGTAAAGTAGTCCTACTTGAAAGGTCTTAGCTAGTTTTTCTAGTTGGTGGATTTCTTATCCGCTTGTAATTCCTTCTATTATTTTAATAAAAAGCTATTGTTTCTTTAAAAAAAAAAGAAGAAAAGAATAATAAGATGCATCAAAGTGAACTTTAAGATCAGAAAGAAACCTTTGATACTCAAAGTTCAATCCCAGCCCACAATTGCAGGCAGTCACGAAGAATATAATCAAACCTATTAATGATAAATATCTCCATAGCATTAGATTCCAGTAAGAAAGTTACATAAACATGCATTAAAATGAAGTACAAATGAGTAATACCACATCAAAAAAACCTTGAGTCTCACTTACTTGTCCACATCAATTCCATTACGGCCATTTGCAACAATTTCATACAAAAAAGGCTTCTCTCTTGAGCTCTAATAAAAGTTTAAAAGAACATAGAGAAAGGTTGGGTCAAATAAAATGACAACAAAATCTAAAATACATAAATATTATACTAATGCTGATTTTGAAGAATCTTACCTTAGGCACTGCAAATTCAGAGCTGGCCAGTATCATCTCCTGTCAACCGGGAATTTTTTTTAGCAACAATAGGAACAGAAAACCTAATTTATATCCTTGCCGTAACTCGAGTACTGTTTAAATTTCATTGTCTAATAAAGTCTGGAGCTGGCTAGAGAGAGAACTTCAAATAATATAATGCATCTGTAACAAGTCCTATCGGGCAATAGATTACCAACCTTAACTCTTTTAACCATCTCAGAGTCGATCTCAATATGATGCTGATTAACAATGTGGTCAACCATCTTCACTGACATGTCTTCATGTGACCTAATACACAGAATTTTCACTATATCAAGGAGACAAACTTCTAAAGCATACATTCCAAGTATAGGGTTTTTTTTTCCTTTCTAACTCTTTTCGTGATGGGAAACGAAATCTCAAAGAGCGGGCATTCAACCATAAAAGAAAGTTTAAATGGATGTAAAACATACCAATGGGAACCACTCCGAACCTGGGGAAGAAATTCACGTTCAAACAAGTGACTGAAAGGCCCATGGCCAACATCATGCAGAAGTCCTGTAAATTAAACGATATATATATATTTTTTTATCAGATGACACAACGAAGGGACAATACGCTAGAAACAACTAAAATCACCTGCAATTTTTACTGTCTGGAGATCAAAGTGGTCAATATCCAGCTCCAAACCCTGTAAGGATGCAAGCATATATGAAAATGACGAATCTTTGACATTATATGTAATTACCAGTCCTCAATGATATTAGACTACAGATTTCTACCTGATAATTTTTAAGCCTCTGAGCAGCTTCACCGGCAAGCCAATAGACACCAAGTGAATGCTCAAACCTGGAATGTGTAGCCCCTGGATAAACCATGTGTGCCACTCCTGAAACGTCGACACAATGACATACAGAACTTCATTTACACAATGCCAACACTCTGAAACGTTACTCAATACAAGAACAATTAAAACATATCATATTCTAATCAAAAAAATTCTGAAGCCACATCCACATTGAATCGTGCATCTTAAGCAAAAACTAAAATAAAACCTTGGATTGCAAAACTGTCCACGGATATCAACTACTTCAACGTTTTACAATGAAAAGGTTTAAACTCATTGTTAAAGAATATACTATATAATCGAACGGTGCATAAAACTCACCGAGTTGTTTCAACTCCCGAAGCCTGAAATGCCATGAAATCATTAAATTCACAGCAAACAACAAACACAAATTTCATTTGACTTCGTAATACACAAATTCCAACTTACCTCTGAAACTCCTCGGTATCGATGAACTTCAACGAAAGCTGCAACCATAAAAAACACAGTAAAAACACTTCATTCAACATAAATTTCAGAACTGTAACAACAATGCGTCAATGCCAAATCAAAATTACCCCTTTTCCATCCATAACTGAAAAAAACAGTAAACAATTACCCATTTTCCATACAAAATACGGTAAAAAACACTTGGCCATTCATAAATTTCAAAACTTTGACAACAATGGCAAGCAACAATTACTCCTTTTCAATTTACAAGTCAAAAAATCAAAAACCCATTAGTTGTAAACGAAAATACAACTGCATGCGCCAAAAAAGGTACAAAAATTACTAGCAAAAGGCACAGTAAAAAACTCAATGGGGGCCTCAGAGAGAGTTACCGCGTCGAGGTAAATGTTGCCATGGACACTGTCGTGCACGTGCTTCGAGAGACGGAAGTCTTGGGAGGAGGCGAAGCTGCACATCGGCGAAAAAACGCGGTCGTTGTTGTACGCCCCCATTGCTTGCAGCAGCAGTGATGGATTTCGCAGACACAGAAATCGGCGCGGAAGCAGAGAAATAAGGTCGGAGATAAAAGAAAGAAACGTACTTTATAGTTAATCACATCCGATTAGCGATTAAGACGAGATAATTACAAGCTTAAATTCCGAGAAATTAGGGCAGGGATATGGAGAGACAAAAACGAGAAGGGAACAAGACGAGGCGGGTGGGGTGTAGCCAAGTAAGTGGGGGAGGGTGTGGTGCCGCCAAATTCTCACACTTTTATTAATGCCGGATGAAGAGTGTTTTTTGTCTTTGTTTTTCTTTAATTTTTAATTCTAGGGCTAGTTTGGTCTGCGGTGAATCGTTGAGTCAGGGGATCAAATTCATTGGGAGAGCAATTTACATAGATCGAAATGTCAGGTGATAGTCGTGGTGGGTGACAGTTGGCAGTTAATCCACTAACTCGATCATAAATAGAAAGATTTTGTCGAACTGTACAACTCCGACAGTGTCAGTTGAAATTAGAGACCGATGCGTTTAGTGATGTTTAAAATATTTATATAGGTGCTAATATCCATATACAAATTTACAGAAATACTGATAGATGTATTGATATCTATAACAACATCAATTGCCTTAGACGAAAAATATGAAAATTTGTAATGGAAAAGGTATACCAACTCATTCGGATTTAGTCGAAATTAGAGAAAAATTTCTCAATAAAAAATCAAATGTTTGAAATTTGCCAGCAAAATTTATGTAATGAATTGGTAAGAATCTTCGATATTCATTGATTTCTTTCATTTTTGAATATTTCAAAAAAAATATATATTTAATTTCGTGGATATTTTAAACGTTGAATGGTTGGCCATCCGTAGCGAAACTATGCAGTTTGGCCCAATCTTAGATACAAAGAAAGTTGAGACTGATGGGCCTTTTCCATAGGCTCAGACCATACTTCTTAACGGGCCGCACTCCAAATATCGGATAAGATAACGTATGTAAACGGGAGGCCGATCCACCACCAACGAGATTAACTTCCACTTCTGCAACCATGGTGGTTATGTCATCCACTTCCCCTTCTATCAAATCCAACTACACTCCCCAGCTCTCCACCGCCGCAAACCACCACCTCAGCAACCCTTCCAACCACCCCATTTCGCCATCTCTACTATACCTCGGCCAAATCTATGGCGACCCCACGAGACACAAGAACTCCAAAGCTCCAAGCTCAAGTAGATTCTTCTCTGTTAAAGCCTACATGGACAATCCAAATTCCATCTCCAGCTTCGCCAGGTCGGGTTGATAGCGAGGATTCTCAGCGACGAAGGCGGCCTCGGCGGAGACACGGTTGATTTCGCAGAGTTTCGGAGGCCGGTGGGGAAGAAGTGCACTACTGATGATTCTAGAGTTTTTTATGAGTTCCAAGATCGACGAGGCCGGGTAAAGATCGAATCTTTAACGCCTGTTTAGAAATGCTTATTTAAAAAGCACTTTGGCTCACATCAATTTTTTCAATAAAAATGCAAGTCTCATGAAGAAACACTTGCCAATACTTTTGTAAAAAAGCTCTTCTTCACCCATAAGCACTTACAAGTTTTCTGCGGTGCTTTTGGTTGGCAAAAAGCACATTTTACCGAAGCATTTTTTGTGTTTTTGAGATGGAATTTGCAAAATGGATGAATTATGAGCTAGATTTTGTTGTTTTGTCTAGGCAGGGGATCCTCTGTATGTTCTAATGTGCTGTTGCGTAGCAGCCATTGGTGCCGGTCTTCTGAAATCCGAGGAGATTTTAGAAGGGGCGGCGAGGCTGCGTGTTTCAAATGATATCGAGTTCGAAGAGCAGAATTTCATTTCCCTGATCAACGAGGCAAAAGAGGTTGGTTTGGTTGGTCCAAGTTTTTGATCATTTACTTGTGCGTGGCTGAAATTTTACGGGCGAAACTAAAGGCGCCTACGCCGATTATCCCAATGGAGATTCGGGTTGAGAAAGCCCTTGAAGGGATTTACCTCTGTTGCTTTGGGAAGGATCCGATGGAAGAAGAAGACGAGAGACTTCTAAATGTAATGCTTAGGGCGGTTTATCCATCCGTTGAGCGGTCTGAGCTACAACGGATTATTAACGAAAAGGCACAGAAAGTAGCCGAAGGCAGTACTGACGGCAGTGTTCGAGAGCCAAAGCCCCTGTCGAATTAAGCTGTTCAAATGCAGAAGGACCTCCAGTTCCTTCAACAAAATAGGGATAGAGACACTTGATCGAAGTGCTTCTCCTAACTCGTAACTTGTAAGCACGGATTCGCAGTTTTTGTTTCAAAGTTTGAATGATAGTGTAAGTTTACGAAACAACTAATTAGCGAAACAACTAATCAACCGAAGATTTGCCATCCAACTGCATACTTTTGTTGGTAGGGGATAGAAGAGATAATTCCACGACGAAAAACACGTAGGGCTAAAACTCCACTTGCATACAATATGATAATCTCATGACAGCAACAGCTCATAGCCTAATACAAATCAAAGAAAAGCAAGCAAGTTCCTTTTACACACTATTTGACTGGAGTTACCGGCTGTGCAGTAGGCCAGAGTTGCAATGGCGCCCCTCATACAAGTAGAGTCCCATAGAAATAGCTCCGTGACATCTGCTAAACAAGAAACTTTCTTAGGCAGGCACTGAGAAAAACTACATATCAATGTACCACCTCATTAACCAGAGAATTCATATCTTTATACTGATTGAAATTCTGTTTCCAAGAACTGAGCGGGGATGTGAAACGCGCTAGCGAAGGTCACTTTTCAGCAAACCACTTGACTGGCACCAGGATTAGCCAGTTCATTAACATTAATCAGCTCATATTCCACCAGCGATAAGTTATTATCTTCCTTAACAGAGAAGCTGGCGGGTTCGGTTACTTCAACTCGACCCCATTTGTCCACAGCAAGCCTCATAGAACCCTTGAACATGTCTATTTTTGCGTTGCGCAGGATCACCGTGGCACCAGTTGTCATCAAATCAACTGTCCATAAGAAAGGCCAAGACATAGTAAGAACAAAACTCATCTAAAATCTGTGCAACCCAACAACAACAAAAGTTAAAACATGTCGTCAACAGAAAACCAAGAACAAGATCAAGATCAATGTCTTATTAAAGGCACTACCTTGGTCATTTCTGGCAGTGAAAATGATGGTTCCGGTTTCGTCTCCAACCAAGCATTCCGCGATCCTCATCTGACGAACTCGGATTCCATCAGGACGGGCCTTCTGCAATACCATCTTCACACTAACAACCTTCACAACCAAGGTATGTCCCTTGGTGTCCGGTTTCAGCTGATCAACCTTCTTGAATACAGGCTTCCTCTTTGCCGGTTTTGTTTCCGCCATTTCTAACAAAAAAACTCTACGATTACCCGACAAAGAGAAACACGTCAACAATCCGAAACAACGTCAAAAAATCTTAACCAAATACAAACATGAATCTAGTACTCGAATTTAACCACATTTGCCACAAGATACAAGAAAGTTTCATAACATCTGAAAGAACAAAACGTCCCGAATTCAATTAGTCACAAATGTTCATAAAGATGCAACATTTATCATTGTAATTAGTCACAAATTACACGATTAGTCACGCACTTGATGAAAACAAAACAGAAAATAAATGGAAATTAAATATATATGTGTGTGTCTATATATATATATATATATATATCACACACATATACATATCAGCAGCTAAAAAAGCAAAAAGCAGGAACCTTTCTTTCTCTTTTCAGATGGTTTTTTGGTTCTCAAAAACAATATCTGATCCTTGAAACAACAACTCAGAATCTTTAATACTATAAAATGAAGAAATTGTAGACAGGATTCAGTTTTGGGATTACCGTTTAGAGAGAGAGAGAGGGAAAGGGAGAGAGAGATTAATCTGTTTGTGGTTTTTTACAGTGGTGAGAGCAAGCGTGTGGTGGAGGTATTTGAAGACCGTCGAAATCGCCTTTTGAAACGAAAGGTTACTGGACCAACGGCCGTTTGATCTTCCACTTTTTCATGAACAAATCTTGCTCGTACACGTCGTCATGATCAATGAGATAGAAAGAATGCTTTCTGTATTTCATTTCTTAATGGGGAAGTTATTACAACTGAGTCTATATACACTTTGCTAAACAAGTTTAGTGACTAATAACACTAGATTAACCACTAACACAGTGATTAGTTACAAAATAGTTGTAACCAATTTACAGCTGTCACAACAAACAGAAAATATATAAGTATGAGGTGTCCTTTTACCCTCCCTCAAGCTAGACGAAGGAGACCCGAGAGATAGCTTGGACTGTAACAACTTGAATTTGTCCTTGGAAAGTGCCTTGGTGTGAATATCTACAATTTGATGTTGAGTACTAACATACTGAATTCGAATCAAACTGGCTAAGACAAGTTCTCTAATATAATGATAATCAATTTCCACGTGTTTCGTACGAGCATGAAACACATGATTAGATGCCAAAGAGATTGCCGAGACATTGTCACACCAAAGTTGAGGAACCTGTCTAAGTGGGAAGGTGATATCTTTAAAGATTTTGCAGATCCATGTCAATTCTGCAACAGTGTGGGCGAGAGAGTGATATTCAGTTTCTGTAGAGGATCGAGCAACAGTGTGTTGCTTCTTTGCACTCTAGCTAATCAAGTTATTACCCAAATACACACAATAACCCCTTGTAGATCTTCTGTCAAAGATGCAATTGGCCCAATCATCGTCTGAAAAAGCTGTGAGATGTAAGGAGACTTTCTTGAACCATAAACCTTGATGTAAGGAGAATTGTTGAAGTTCTTGGAGTAATTACCATGATTGTTGCGCTGAAATTATCCTTTGCCACGATTGTTCTAAAATTTGGGAGGAGCATGAAAATGAGCATCAGCATAAGCTTGGGGAAAGGAATAGTATTGTGGTGTAGGAAGGAGAGGACCCTGAGATTGAGCAACAAAGGCCTGGAAGAGTTCTTGAGCGGAAGAGACATCGCTTTCTTTTTGCAATTCATGAACAATTCCTTGTTGATCAACAGACCATGTAGTTCATCCAAAGTAGTTGATGAAATTCTCAGCATAATAGAGTCAATGAAAGATTCATATTCATTAGATAAGCCATTAAGAGTGACAGCAATAAGATCATGATCAGAAACCGGAGAACCAACCACCATTAAAGCATTTGAAATACCTTTGATGCGTTGCAGATACTCATAAGTCGAGAGATCACCTTTGTGTATAGAATGTAGACGAGATCTGAGTTGATGAATATGAACAACAAATACAACTCCAAATCGATTTTCAAGATTAAGCCAAAGTTCACAAGATGAGGTCACACCAACAGTAAACAAAATGATTTCTTTAGAGAGAGTAGAATTAAGCCAAATGAGGATATTATGATCCTTTTCATACCAAGCTTCAAAGGCAGGGTTAGGAATTCCAGTATTGCGATCAGTTTGATCAAGAAGATAAGGCGGTGAACAAATCTCGAAACCATCAACAATGCCGGTGAGCTTGTAGCTCCTGAAAATTGGAGCAAAGAGAGCCTTCCAGACCAAATAATTGTCACGTTTCAACTTCGTAGGCGCCATACAACTGATATTCTAGATCATGATCGATGAAATCGAAGAACTGGAAGAATTACGGTTCATCGCCGTGAAATTAGGGGCGACAAACTTAGTCGGTGTAGGATTTCAAGGAATAATTTCTGGATGTGTAGGTGAAGAACTTGAAGACGCCATTGCTGAGAAGAAGAAGAAGAAATTAAAGATCAAGACGAAGAATCGAAGATCGAATCGTAGAGAAAAGAGGATTGAAGTGCGACAAGCAGAGAGGCGAGTGATACCAAGATAGAAAGAATGCTTTCTGTATTTCATTTCTTAATGAGGAAGTAATTACAACTGAGTTTATATACACTTTGCTAAATAAGCTTAGTGACTAATAACACTAGATTAACCACTAACACATTGATTAGTTACAAAACAGTAGTAACCAATTTACAGTTGTCACAACAAACAGAAAATACAATGGACATCTGGTCCGGATTGACTTATCTATTTTTAAGAATAAACAAGTTTTTCTTTTTCTTTTGGTATTGGTATTGTTATTGCACAAGTTCAAGCTTCTGTTTGAGCACCAAGTGAGAATCGAACGCAGAACCTCTTACGAAGATACTCTTAAACATTTGAACAAGAAGTTTCTTACGGGTTTTGAGCAAACTCGCTAATTAAGGTAACAACTTCTCATTATTGAAAGGGAAAGTTTCCGGGCAGCGTACACTCTTACAAGTCTCACAGAGACATAGTGATGCATGCTCGGATCAAACCGGTGCCCTATACGGCTATAGAACCGGTGAAAACGAAGAAGATAAAAGCACACAGACCCTAAAGTCGAAAGCTTTTGGCTACATTATTCATATGGACCTGCCTCATAGTTAGCATCTGCAGGCGAACACAAAGTAGCAGATTTAATAACAAGCACCCGAACTACTGGTATTGGCTTGCTAGTTTACCGTCCTTGACAATGTAGTTTTGTGCCGGAAATTCTTCTCCCTTGAAGTACCTGTCGAGCATATCCTTCGTCCCAGCAGCATAACGTAACTGCACAAATTACATGATGGATTTCAGTTCAGGGAACAAATGAGGTGAAACCATGAGCGTAAAGGATAAGATAGTAAACGTCAAAAATATACCTGTGCATCAATTGTGGTACCGGATATATGAGGGGTCATAGCATGGTTTGGCATGTAACGCCATGGATGGTCTTTTGGAGCTGGTTGTGGATTCCAAACATCACCACTGTAACCTGGAGAATCATAGAATCAAATGAAACGATTAGCCAAAAGTCAACAGAATTAACTCGATTAACATTGACCAGTTCATGAGTTACCTGCAATGTGTCCGCTGGAGCAAGCGTCGACAACAGCCTGCGTGTCCATGATTGCCCCACGAGCATTGTTAACAATCAGAACTCCCTTCTTACACTTTGCAATTCTTTCTTTGTCAAACAGTCCTCTGAGTCGCAAGATCAATATCCGTTAATTGTATTGATCCTATCAGTTTGTTAGTTGTAGATAAGCTTCTAAATGCAATTATATGGTAATAAACTCAGAAGATCAGTCATCTCCACCAAAACAAATAAATAACAATCAAACGGAATAAAATAGTCAGAAGATTAGCCTTGACTTAAGTACCTTGTTTTTTCAGTTAGGGGTGTGTTGACAACAATAACGTCACATTTCGGAAGCATTGCATCCAGATCCTCCTCAAACTTTGCCCCAGTCTGTTTCTCCAATTCGGGGTCAATCTTGACACGATCATGATAGAGGAGATTGCAGTTGAAAGGCTTCAACCTTTGGAGCAAAAGCCTGCCAATACGTCCAGCACCAACCGTCCCCACCGTCTTTCCTTCGAGATCATAAGCTCTGTAGGCAATGCCTGCAACATTCCATTCTCCACTAACAATCTGCTGATACCCAGGTACGAAGTTGCGGACGAGAATGAGGATTCTCATGAGCTCATCTTCTGCAACTGAAACCACATTGCTTCCCGTGACCTCTGCCACGGTTAATCCAGCAGCAGCAGCAGCTTTCAGATCAATGTGATCAGAGCCAATTCCAGCTGTTAGAAGCAGCTGCAAATTCTTGGCCCTTTTGATCCTTTCGGCCGTGACATAGGCCGGGTGGAAGGGCGTTGTTATGAGAACATGAAGATCTTCAATGTGTTTGTCAAGTTCTGAATAAACAGCACCAAAAGGGACATACAAAGTTCCCATTAGTTTAAAAGTTCGAACAATTTAAGAATCAACTTATAAGCCCAAGGAAAACTCATCTCAAAGCGGAAAAACCTGTCAAATTAACAAGTTACCGGTCAGTGATTAGGCGAGTTCGATGCCATGTACACGCTGCTTGCAGGACAAAATTTAGCAGAACTGAGTCAAAAGCTTTTAATCAACATTCATTGATCACATTAATCTTGGCATATCTGTTCAAGCCAAGTGTGTCCTTTTGTTTATAGTTTTTGACAAGGCGATTCTCTAAACTACTCTAATCTATAGGGAAGGGGGATCCAACTCGAGTGACGGGGGTGACCACATTGCCCTCACCAACTAACCTAACACACATCTACAAACTAAATATAGCATAAGTAATAAGCTAATTTTATACTCACATAAGCACATGCATTAGGACATTATATATGCTTATATGCATACATATTATATATGAAATGTATAGAAAGGTACTGAAATTGTATGAACTTACCAGAATTTGGTCCTTCCTTATCATCAGTGACAATATACTTGTGGCCCTGTGATTCCAGCCAGTCCCTTATCCCCAAGGCTCTCTCTTCACAACCCAGAAAATTGGGGTTCAATTCTGCATACTCCTTGGCCTTGTAAAACACCCCAACTATCTTTTTGCTTCCACCAGATGCCTGCTCATACCAAACCACATCAATTCAACACAACCCAAAATTTGGATTATTATTTTGTTCTAAAATGAGGGACTTGTAGCTCAGTTGGTTAATAGCAACCACCTGAGGTCGAACCCCCCATTTCCCCATAAGGCTATAGGTGGTATTTTTAAGGTGATCAGCAATTAAACAAGCTTAATTATCACAATTAACTAATTGCTGAATTAAATTATGTGAAATATATATATATATATATGTGTGTGTGTGTGTGTGTGTGTGTGTGTGTGTGTGTGGAAATGGCTTACATGGAGGTGCCTGGTGAAAGTTGTTGAAGATGCTGAGCTTCCTGATGAAGCAAGACCTCGAACTGCAGAAACAAGCAAACGCTTCATCGACATGGATTCTTAAAAATTTCCTGCTAATTGGTTGCCAACTGAAGAACCTTGAAACTAAATATTTTGAAATTTGTTAAAAACTGAGAAATAATTAAAAAGAGAAGGCTCTGTGTTGTGCGCAACACAAAAGGTTTCTGCCCATTTATTTATAATAAACGATTGAAGTGAGAGCTCAGTGACTCTCTTCATCATCCAAGTCCACTCCACCTAATCTCTTTAGTTTTTATTATGCATGCTACGCACGTGTAGAGTCTACATGTCGGAAACTACTCGTTTTCCTCTTGGCAAGTTGGCAACTGGCCGAAACGGATGTTTGTTTTGGAAATACTTGTGCCCACCACCCTCCTAAACTGCTGGTGTTACTGTAACAATATTTAATTAATCATGTGTCGAGGGGGTGAATTTCATACCGGACCATTAAGTTATTTTATATGCCGCTGTAAGGGGTTATATTACTTCTTATATTGTCAATTGATGCTATGATGAAACTCAAACTTACCTCATAATATCTAGCAAGTTAATCAGCGTCCTGAGTCTAGCAGTCCACGTGCTTCCACATTACCCAGTATACATTGTCTACAATATACAACTGATATAGTTTATTGAGAGTAGTATGTAATTGATTTTATGATAAAATATCAGTTTATTCTATCACGTTTTATCATAAATTTTCACTTGGTAACGCATAATTTAGTTGAGATACCACCTTAGCAGCAGAAAGTCCTTCATGTTAGTTAACCTTATCCAAATTCAATTTGTGGATTGCCCTTGTGACTTTGCAGAGGCTTTTGAGCCGCGGACCCGGAAAACTTTGGTGGTTGTGTCACTTTAAAGTGATGAAATGCTATTTGTAATTTGGTGGGTACCACACTGTATACATGGAGAAGTTTTTAGTTGTGAGATCATCTCTAACTCTTAGGCTAAAAATCAAATTTTTTTAGTTCGGAAAATTTAGCTTTTAGTCCAAAAATGACTTTTTTGCTCCAACCCTTTTGGCTTAAAATTTTAGCCTGTAATTATTAAAGAATGAACTTAGGTTAATTTTTTTTAAATAAATATGTAGACTATTGTAAATTAATTTTATGAAAATTTTAATCTAAAAATATTTAAATTCCGATAAATATTGAAAAATCACTAAATTTTCCACAAAGCAAGCCTTCAACTTTCACCAATTTTTCAACTTTCACCAAACTTTCAACTTTCACCAATCATTCAACTTTCACCAAACTTTCAATTTTCACTAATCGTTCAACTTTCATCAATCATCCTCTATATAAACACAGGTCCAGTATTAATTGATCAGACAATCTTTCAACCTTCAATCATCCTCTATATTCACCAATATTTCAACATTGAAAGAGTTTTTGTTTCCTTAAAATCCTCAATATCTCATCAATAGGTGGTAAAAGAAGGCATAGCAGGGCAATGCAGATGGCACAATACCAAGTGAGGCTTGACATTGAGGATGCATAATTGATCAATGTTGAAGCTAAACTTGTAAACTCGCTTATGCAATCTGAGCACCATGGCGAATCTAGCCATCGTGGTTCTGTCACGAGGCGTTCATTTGTGCAGCGTGATAGAGAAGAATGTCATGGCCGAATGATGAAAGATTATTTCATCAAGTGTCCGAGATTTCCTGCTCATGATTTTCGGAGGCGGTTTTCGGATGAGGAGATAGCTTTTTGAAAGCATCTTGAACGCAGTTGTCAATCATAACTACTACTTTGCAAGGAAGATAGATGTCGTAGGCCGAAAAAGTCTATTACCTCATCAAAAGCTCATATATGTATTTCAAATGCTATCTAATGGGTGCTCTGCAGACTCAACTGATGAGTATTGCCGACTTGCGGAGAGTACTGCTATTGAGAACCTGAAACGCTTCTGTTAGGCAATTCAAGCTATATATGGAGCCACATACCTCTGCAAGCCAAATCGTGAAGACTTGAAAAAACTTCTACGCAAGGTAGACAAAAGAGGCTTTCCTGGCATGATATGAATTCTCGATTATTTGCATTGAGAGTGGAAGAATTGTCCTACTGCTTGAGCTGGCCAATTCAAGGGCTGTCATAACAAGCCAACCATTGTGCTTGAGGCTATGGCGTCCTACAATACATGGATTTGGCATGCTTTCTTCGGCGCTCCCGGATCACACAACGATATCAACGTTCTTCGGTCTTCTCCTCTGTTCGATGATGTTGTCAATGGATGGACACCAAATTTTTGTACAAGGTAAATGGTAATAGGTATGAGCTAGGTTACTACCTAACTAATGATATTTATCCTAGTTGGTCTGCCCTTATCAAAAGTTTTTCTTATCCCGATAGTGCAAAAAAGAAATTATTTTCCCAGAGGCAAGAGTCTTACATGAATGATGTGGAGAGAGCGTTCGGGATCCTACAAGCTCGATGGGCCATTGTTAAAGGGTCTGCACAACTTTGGCATACCTAAGACCTCTATTCAATCATGATGATGTGCATAATTTTGCACAATATGATTGTGGAAGATGAGTACATCGAAATTGAAGAAGATTCAGACGAAGATGTGAATGATGACCAAACAACACATGCAAGAGCTATTGCAAGATATGTTGAATATCTCATTCCAACCACATATGAAACCCGATAGGATAGGGTCACCTTGAATGAGTATATGAGATATTTAAATAGAATTCAAGCTCCTCAAGGTTATGACACACTCTGTAAGGATTTGGTTGAGCATGTATGGCGCCAAGAAGGTGAATGTTGATGATGTTGGTTGAGCATTTATGTAATAATTTTAGTTGCACTATGTTGTTATTTTGTAGTAATAAATTTAAGTATCTTCTTGTGCAAAGTAATTTGTCTAGTACGTTGGATAAATTATTGAATGGAGGTTGAATTATTGAAGGCATCTATTATACATCAAAGTGTGGAATAATAAGTACAATAATTATTGAATGCATCTAGATTAATAGAAACAATAATTAATAGGACATAAATTTAATAAAGTACATAAGCCATATAATAAACCGCATAAACTTAATACAACCAATAATTCATAAAGTTAATTAATAAAGCACATAATTCATACACTACATAAACTTAATAATCATATCCACCATTTTGACTTGGTGATGGACTTCATGGTTGACTTGGTATATAGGGTTCAGAGGATTCATGATCTTGAAATATACTCCTTGAGGCATACTTTCGCAAAATTTCCTTTTACTTACCACGTAAGAACTTCTTCCTCTCTGGAGTGTATTTGTTGAGATCCTTCATCATGAAATTAATTTCAAACCTATCCTGCTCCCTATCCCTTTCTTGCTTCATTTGCAAGCCCATTCAAGCCGCTTCTTCTTGGCGAGCGCTATGAGTTTCATTCAATTTTGCAATTCTGGTAGCAAAGTGTCTACTCATCGGATCTTGGGACTTCCCTTTTCTCTTTGCTTCCTTTTGCTTATCTCTTCCCATGAGCCTTGCAAAAGAAGGAGATGGGATCATTTCATCGACACTTTTATCTCCAGCATTTGTTGGTGCAGCTTCATGTTGAAATAATCTTTCTCATTGTTGGTCCGCATCGATTCCTCACCTCGGACAATCCTTGAGGACGTCCCAAGCATGTTGCAACTTAAAAACTTGATTTTTTGGTGTTACTCTTGTCTTGTAAATTTTCATTACTTTGTCACCCTATGCAAAAAATACATAAAAATAATTAGCTGCAAAAGAATATTATGTACATGACAAATAAAATATCAAGAAAAAAAACTCACAATTTATGTGCCGCTCCTTCCACTAGCCATGCCAACCACGACTCTCTCCAAACTTCCTTTCCATAAAGTGCATGCTTTGTTGATAGTCTTCCACCGATCATAAACACCACCATCGTCCTGCCTGCTGCCGTTGCAGTTTTCTCAACAAAACCTTTTTATTTTGATTTGTGCCAACTACACCATCTTTACTAACAGAAATCTATGCCAAACATAAGTAACATCTTCCTCATAGATCCAATTACGACCTCTAATATGCTCTCTTGCCATGTTGAAATATTTGGAAATGGAAAGAAATGATAGAAAGATAAATTGGAAGAATTGTTGGAGAAAATTAAGTTTTGTGTGGATGTTTGAACAAATACATAGGTATTTATAGAGTTTTTGGGTGAATTTTGAGTTAAATAATTTTTTATAATTATTTTAGCCGTTGGATTTAAATTTGGGCCGTTAGATTTTTTTTTTACCATTAGATTTGATTATATTCGATTTTAACCGTTGAATTCAATGTATTTTAAAATATCATATTTAAAAAAATAAATTTGAATCTGGTCCGTTGGATGTTGGTCCTTAAATTGTGGCCATTCGATGCGGAAAAGAGTCGTTGGGCTCAAGGAAGTGGCCGACAGGGGCCCTGACAGTGGGCCACCCACTGTCGGGAGCTGAATTGATGCGGGTCGCGTGGGGCCCATCGACGAGTAGGCATGCGAGTCCACATGTTTTTTTTTTTTGTGGGGGGGGGGTATTTGGCCTAGCTTTAGCATTTGACTTTTAGGCCAATGTTTTAGCTTGGGTTAGGTGGTGTTTGGGGGGAGGGGAATAAATGGGGTAATTTGGCATTTAGCCCAGGGTTGGAGGAGGTCTGATGGGAACATAAGTGGTGATAAATTTTATTTTTTAAGTTATTAACTTTTTAGCACACATATCTCACTATTTATATAGTGATATATGATGTACAATCCTTGAACTGATTACACTGAAAAATCTCTCGTACATATGACATCAATTTGGTCAAAAAATGACCAAAGGCATTCTTACGTGGAAGATACATCCACTAATTGGACCACATGGCAAGTACACAATGGTCTAAACTAGTTATGCCTTATCTACTGGAGGTGACATCAAGGAGGCGGAAAGGAGAGATTTTTTAATATTTCGAAAACATGGTTTAGTAATGTTATAAGTATTTGGAAATTTGAATTATTTTTTTCAATCAATTGTATTAAGACATTTTGTGTATCTGGTCGTGTTCCCGGCATAATAAAATTTTCTCTACACAATGGAAAACTTATCTAAGTTATCTCCAACTAAAAAGTGGCACCAACACAAGTTTTATGTCGATATTTGAAGAAGTTTGCAAAATCGAATATAACCTATGATTTATAATTATAATGTTTGTCATGGATGCAATCGTTGAGCCTTTACAAATAACATTTTTTCGTGCACTTAAGAAAAATATTATAAGTAATTTGAAAACAATCAGCCAATTTATTGATTCATAAGCATTTTTATGTATTTTTAAGAGGTGGAAAGAAAAGTCACGACACTGAAATTTGAAAATTTATGAAATGTTTTATATAAATTTTGAAAAGCTTATAATGCGGTCAAAATTGTGTGAGAACAAGTCTTTCAAAATTTTTTTGGTGTAGAAATTCGCAAAACCGATTAAAAGCTTATTTGGATGTACTTTTAAAATGATTAAAAATACTTTTGGTGAAAATATTTTTGAAAACAATCTTTAGTAAAAATGTTAGTAAATCTTGAAAAAGTACTTAAAATGCTTTATAGAAGAAGCACATAACTGGTACTTCTTGTAGGAAGTACTTAAAGTGTTTTTGGAATCCTAGTTGACAGCCCAATATATTTATCATTTACGAGCCCAACTCGTGGCATTTATACATAAACTTTAAATAAGCCCAATTAAACTCCGTTCTTTTTTCCTCAGTAAACTCCGCTTGCTGTTTGTGCGGAGTAAAGCGAACTCGGAACTGCAAAACGGTGAATTTAAGTGGAAAGTCAGTCGGAGGACGGCGGAGATGGAGCGTCCGACCGCCACCGTGACTCAGCGCGATCAGTGGATGGTAGAAAGTGAGGTCTTTGGGATCTACCGACGCTTCGGCAGCCTCCCTCCCGAAGCCCAATGCGTCATGTAAGAAAAAAGCTTCCAACTTTGCACTCTGAATAAATCATTTGGGTTTACAAAGAATTTCCCTTTTGTTGTTGCTTTTTTTTCGATGCAAGCAATATTCTACTTTAAACTAATATAATTGAACTGTGGGGATGGGGATTCAAACTTGTTTATTTATTGTTTTTTTAAATTATGGGGTTTTGTTGTGGAATTTGATGGATTTTTTTGTTGTTGTGGGGTTCTTGGACTTTGAAGGATTGAGCTTCAGCGTGATAGTCACATAGAGTACTTAACCAGAGGACTCATAGGACTCCCTTCCTCCTTCTCCGTTTTGGATGCCAAGTATAACTCTCTCTCTCTGTCTCTGTCTGTCTGTCTGTCTCTCTCTCTCTCTCTCTCTATTTCTAGTATTTTTAGCAGACTTTCTTGGTATTGTTTTGATTGAGGTTTGATTTCTACGACATGTTCAATTGTTGTGTACATTTGTCTGTAGTCGGCCTTGGCTTTGCTATTGGATTCTACACTCATTGGCTTTGCTAGGGGAGTCTGTTGATGATGAACTTGAACGGAATGCCATTGATTTCCTAAGCCGTTGTCAGGTATGCGAATAATCGATTGTAATTTGTATGACAATCTTACATCTTTTATATGGAACGTAACGAAAGGCGGGTGTTTTAGTTTGCTTCACCACTAAGAACAATACAAAAAGAAGTGATCTTTAGTGTTTTGTTAGCATGGAATGGTATGTTTAGATTGTCATGAAGTTGTGTTTTGCTTCCAGGACCCAGAGGGTGGATATGGCGGCGGACCTGGACAGGCAAGTGAATTGATCTCATTATTTTCCATTTTGGCTTAGCCAATGCTGGTCTCTCGTTGTTTAACTCTGTTGGCGTCAGTTGTTATAGCTTGACTTGACTAGGCTTATACAACATTACGTATCTACTCTATTATACGGTGATTTGCATTCTTTTTCTTACAATTGTTAGCGTGTTCTCTGATTTCCCAGATGCCACATCTTGCAACGACTTATGCTGCAGTTAATGCGCTTATAACTCTCGGCGGTGATGAGGCACTTTCAACAATTAATAGGTGGTCAGTTTATCCATTTAAGAAAAAATACTTTTTCACAACAGTGCAATTCATAGCCTTTTGGAAGTGATTTGACATGATTTTTCTTTCTTTTCAGAGGTGAACTCTACAAGTTTTTGCGGCGAATGAAACATCCAAGCGGCGGCTTCAGGTTAGATATCACATTGATTTGTGTGGTTCTATAGTTTGAGGACATATATGTACAATGATCATTTCAGTACCTTTGATATACTTTTACCATCACTAATTACTTCTTTTTAGGATGCATGATGGTGGAGAAATTGATGTCCGGGCTTGCTACACTGCGGTTTCTGTTAGTCTCTCTCTCTCCATCCTTTGTAATGCATTATAGTTGTGTTCTTTGTTACCGCCTTGCTATATGCTTGCTTAATTTTCATCATGACAATTTTACTCGTCCTTGCAGGTAGCAAGCATTTTGAACTTTTTGGATGATGAACTGGTTCATAATGTTGGAAGTTTCATCTTAAGGTTGCTTACCGAGTCATTCATTTGGTTGAAAATAAATTTAGCTCAGTTTGATATTTTGAAGTATGCGTTGTATTGTTGTTGTGATACCGTGGAGTGCTTGTCCAATTCTCCTTGATTCTTAGACATCTGTTTTTAATTGAAATTCATTTTATTGCCTTTGTGTTGAGTCATGGACTGAAGTTTTTTTTTCCTTGATATGAATGGCATTATATCTTGGTTAAATTAAACATTATCTTTGCAGTTGTCAGACGTATGAAGGTGGTATTTCTGGGGAGCCTGGTGCTGAAGCCCATGGTGGGTATGTTTCAGACTTACATGACAATTTTTTTTGTCCGCCTGTCTTTATGTTCTTCCAATTTACGTATTTGGAAAGATTGCATAAGCTACTAATGTCAAATCATGTGAAATATTAGGACAATGTATTTTCACTTCCTTTTACATTTTCTATTCGCTCATAGGTCTGACAAATTTTTTTTTTCCCTTCAGGTACACTTTTTGTGGGGTAGCTACAATGGTTCTAATCAATCAGGTCAATCGTTTGGACTTGCCTGGACTAATTGTAAGAAAATTATCCTCTCTTTTGTGCGATGCGGATTACAGATATACTGTACCAAGGATGGCCCACAGACTTCTACAACATCTAATTTATCTGAAGAGGGGAATAATTTTGAAGGCACTGCATCTCCAGGAGGTAGGCTGACAGCTTACTTAGGCGCATTTAAGATGTTCTCTATCTATCCTTTACGAGAACAGATTCGCCTTTTTAAACCCATATTTTCTGCTCAATCTTCTAATTTATGTGTTACGAGGTTATCTTATAAATTTATAATTTTCCTGTTCTTATATGCATGGCTAAATGTTTCGTGTGCAGTGAATTTGAATGACATCGGCTATGATTTTCTCAAGAGGCCTGTAAAATTGGAGCCACTTTTTCACAGCATCGCATTGCAACAATATATACTTCTATGCTCACAGGTTCGATATTTAACATATAACTTTACACTGTAACAGCTGAATGCTTGACTTGACAGGTTTTAAAGTGAGAACTTATTTCTCCATCATTATACTAGTTATCGACAGTTAAGCTGTATCAGGATGCATCTCAAGCAATGTTATCTTAATCGTTCATACTTCTTATTTATAAGTTTCTTACTTCCGAGGGGGTTAACAAATCAATTTGATTTTGTCGATGCAGGAGAAGGGTGGAATGAAGGACAAACCCGGGAAATCTCGAGACTTTTATCACACATGCTATTGTCTAAGTGGTCTCTCTGTATGTCAACACATTTTGTCGAACGATAAAGACTCTCGGGTGTCGCCTAGGGCAGTCATGGGTCCCTATTCCAACTTGTTGGAACCAATTCATCCCCTCTTCAATGTTGTCCTAGAAAAATACCATGAAGCAAGGGAATTCTTTTTCGAAGAGACTGAGCAATAAACTCGTCGGAGGGAGGAGTTCTTCTGTCTGGACGCCCGCACCACGTGACTGTTTGGCCAAGACTCGTTCGGTAGGGCCGCCGTCGGATTGCTTAAGGGCTGGATGAATGATGCATAATCTAGGCTTGTAACATTAATAATTAAGGGCATGGTCTTCGCTAATGGTTCTGTACTTGTACGAATAATGTATTCTTATTTATGTAAAAAAATAATCTAATTCAGCATTAATCCAATTCACTTGTTTTTGTTTTCAACTGATATTTTAGCAAGTTTTGTTCCCCACCACCCACCGCCCAGAACCATTTGTCGACCAGCTAGCGCTTGGCGGTGTCACTGATGGTCCCATTGACACATGTGTTGCTATAGCAACGTGAACAAGTTTTAGGAGAAACTTCAACCCAATTGCTCAACTCTGCGTAAGAAAGTTCAAAATACAAGACAACGAGGCTATTGGTTTTGGAATCAAGATCCTTTCCAAATCTTACAATCCTAAGCTGACGGACTGTAAAATCCGGACCATTTATTTTAAATCTTACAACCTCTATTAATTCATTTCATTAGCACATCTTATACAAATCAAAAGTCTAGATTTTTTTCTCTTAAATGGTCCAAATTATTCGATCCATCGGCTCCAAATTGCAAGATTCGTAAAGGATATGAGTTTATTTGATACCGTTGTAGTACATCCTGTGTTGGAATGTTATTGTGACTGTATCAAGTGGCAAACTTAAAACGTATGGGTCTATCATGCTTTCTTGATCTCTCTCGAGTCTCATCACAATATCAAACCTTTAGATATAATCGAAAATTTACTACGATATTGAGGAAGTGCGGATTTACGTTAATGCACACAATAAGCTAGTTATACTTAAAATATAACAAGTCATTCATGTAAGTCGAACTCTGGTTACACGGTGGAATCTTAAGTATTGGGAATGAGAAAGCGACAAGTGGCTTTGTTTTATTTGATGCACACTGCCTTTTGTATTCTATTTACCAGGTTCTCTAATTAAAGTCTTCTCCTTTATTTTTTTCTTTTCTTTTGGTCACTCCACAAATAATTTCTTGAAGAAAAAAAAACTGCCAAATTGTAGATGTAGAGAAATCCCCATCTAAGACTCAGAAGTCCACACCAAAATATGGAAACAATTCCAGAAGACCAACCGGAAACAATTCCAGAAGACCGACCAGAAACACCACCACAACGCAAAGAAGAAGAAAAACACAATGAAAAACAACAAGTGAAAGAGGAAGAAGAAGAAGAAGAAGAAGAAAAGCAGAGCATGCCAGAAACACCATCTCCTCTGTTCCACTCACCATCTCATGTGTTCCAATCACCATCTCATATGTTCCAAACTCCGTCTCCACCGTCCGATTCTCCAATAACCCATCATACCTACCACACTCATGAGCTCAGAGTCGCGCCTGCAGACACCAAGCCGGCGTCGCCGCCGCTCGCGCCTCCCCAGTCCTTCAGGGCCGAGCCCAAGGTTGCGGGACCCGATTCCAGAGATGGGTTTGATTGGACCCCGGAGGCTCGGGAAGAAAGTGGCGGTGGAATTGGAGGTGGTTCGGGTGTAAATATCCGAACTTTGAGACCCAAGTTGTCGATACTGAAGAGGTCGAGGAGGGAGAGCATGGTGAGGAGGGCTTTGTTTGGGTTAAGGATTTCTGGGTTTGTGTTGTGTTTGATATCCTTCTCGGTTATGGCGGCTGACAAGAACCAAGGTTGGGCTTTAGATTCCTTCTATCGCTACAAGGAGTTCAGGTTTGCCACTTTCAGTTACACACTCATATCGAGAATACGAAGACGGCATCTAAGTCAATCAAATACAGCCGTACTTTTGAAATCTAATGAAAGTGTGTGATTGTCTTAGATAACACAATACCGTATATACCGTTATAGTGATATTTTCGTATTTATCATTATCATTTACATCTATTTGTATTGCAACAAGTTGTGTTTTTTTTTTTGGAGCTAACAGTGTTTTCTATCAATAAAAAACAGGTTTAGCGGAAAAATTAAGTAATTTTTTAAGAAGTATTTGGATTGTAAATAAAAACACTTATAGTATAAACGCCTATTAAGCTAAGTGTTTTTTAGAACAGTCCCAACTACTGACTCTTTGAAACATAAACAAAGCTTTGTACTTTGAATAGAAATTCACCATTTCATAGAAATTTCTGTTGAATTATTAGTTTTTTTTGGGCAAAATTGTATGATGTTTTGGAGAAGATGGTGAAAATGGACAAGATTATTAATTGGATATGTGAATTTGCAGGTTCTGCTTGGCAGTCAATGTGATTGGATTTGTGTATTCAGGGCTGCAAACGTATGACCTAACCTATTTCATCACCAGTGGAAAACATGTAATCCAGCACCATCTCCGCTATTACTTTGATTTCTTGTTGGATCAGGCAAGTGATTACTTGTCCTTTTTACTGCAATTTAATTAATGATTCTACCTAATCTATCCCCACAAAGTGCTGCTTTCTTCGAGATTTTTCAATGTGTAGGGAATACAGGGTTTACACTTGAAAAAAAAAAACTTCTTTCTAATTACACAGTATCATGTGTGTTTCATCCAATATTCCGGGTATATTGAAAAATCTCTCGTTTTCTTGCCCGTTTTCCGATAATTATAGGGACCTTAGACTATGAGGAGAGACAATTTGTGTAAGGCAGCTGGAGCACACTAACCGTCTGACTGCGCTAACAAACCACAACCCATATGTGTTTCGATGAACCCACTATAAGGGCTTCCACTACTGAAGTTTTTCTCCTGTAAAATCAGTCCTCCAACAGTTTGATGGCCATTACTTATTGGTTGACTATAAAAGTTATTTTCATCATTGTTTATATGGTGATGCTTCATTAGATACTTTTGCATCAGTTGGTTCCTGACCTTTTTTTTATTCCACCTTTTTGATACCTTTTCAATTGCCTTTTTTCTAGGAATGATTCTGTTTGGGTGATGCTATTCACATACTTTTTTTTTTTTACGTCACACACATTTCCTGTTAATTTCTAATATTTGATGTTTTTTAATTCATTCAATCTAACGACTCAAAATTAAGAAGTGTGTCTGGAAGGTAAAAAGAAGTACGTGGATAGCACGCTTCTACTTTTCCATTTGTGTTAATACTGTTTACAATAGCTTAAAGCATACATATTGGAATTCTGCATTCTGTTTACTTGCTCTATCCTCTGTTATGTCGTGTAATCTAAATCTTAAGTTTAATGGTTTTGGTTGGCGTTGCAGATTTTGACGTACCTTTTGATATCGGCGTCTTCATCGGCTGCGATTCGGGTCGACGACTGGGAGTCGAATTGGGGCAAAGACAAGTTCCCGGACATGGCTCGGGCATCCGTCGCATTGTCCTTCCTTGCCTTTATTGCCTTTGCCTCCAGCTCCCTCATCTCTGGTTACACCCTTTGTACTCTGAAATCTATGTAGTTTTTCTTCGTACTTAGTATTTACTGAGTTATAGATGGACAGTGAAAAGTGATATATTTTGTACTGTGTAGAGAAAGTTATGCTTGTGTTGCATCTGCGTCATGAGTCATTGATGTTTTGGCACAAAATTATGTTAATGTTACATCTACCTGAGGCTAGGAGAAATTCTTTAGCTTCCACTCCATGTCAGCCGTCCGACTGAAAATACATACATAAAGAGGATCTCTTGCATTCAAGTTTCACAGGGTCCTGTTCCGATGGACTCAAATGCTGGGTACCCCTTTGTGTTTGTGGCCGGACAGCTGACATGGAGCTACTAATCAGCTTGAAAATTGGTTTTTTGTTGATTGGGCCAAATCTCATTTCCATTACCTATAGGCATTACAAGTAACGAGAATGAGGGAAATGAAAATTTATGTTGATGACATGATTGTAAAGTTTTGGTTGAAAATATAAAAGTGCACTTGGGTTTGTAAATAAAAGCTTTGATTTGCTTTTAATGAAAGCGTTTTTAATAAAAACGCTTAAACTACAGTAAAACATTTATAAAGTAATACCCTATAAAGAAAATAATCTCAAGTCACAAAAAATTCTGGTTTTAACTTGAGACCAGTTATTTATAGAGTTACGTATAGGAATAAACGCTATATTGTAATAAGTTATAATTCTTTTTATTCATGTTTTGAGGAAACTTGAATATTTCTCTAAAGTTGTTGGAGGGCAAAAATATGCAATACCACAAATAGAAGTTTAAGATTAACTAAAACATTTCTTTACAGCTGTTTGGGGCAATACTTTAGTTTTTAGAGTTAATGTCACGTTTTTTAGCTTGCAAACACATAATACTTTGTCAACACGACACCTTGTTATTGAAGCCAAAATGTTTCTAATTTCTCAAGCATGTTTACAACTTCTTAGCATAAAACTTTTTGTATTTTAATATTGTCCTCCTCTGAAATCCTATTTAGGAAATAGATAATTCGTTGAAAATAAATAAGTCAATAAAAATATTTTTTAACTACACCTCTATTAAATAATACCTATCTAAAGTTATAAAATTAATATTTCTTACGTAAACAATTACTTACAAATGAGCTGAGTAACTTAGAAAGTGTTGGGGTTTTTCTTCTTATATTTCTTGGAGGTGTCAACAAGAAGGGAAAAAACTTGTGATAAGGATAATAAAGGAAGAAAACTTCGACGCTAGCAATTACGGATGGGGATTATCTGCCCTCTATTTACCATCCTTTTTTTATTTGAGCGGTCACGGTTAAACCACGTTAACATTTTATATTCATATTGTTTTTTGTCTTATTATCTTTATAAAAAAATCAATATAAAATGTTAACGTTGCTTAATCGTGACTGTTCAAATAGGAGAAAATGGGAAGGAGATGATAAATGGAGGGCAGATAATCCCCATCCAGCAATTACGATCTTGCGGTGTGTTGATGTCAGAGACTCAGATTTGAGTAAAAGAAAGTGAACATCAACCGCATAACATGTTGCGGCACACAATGAACATCAGATAAACAGTGCACTTGGGTTTATAATAAAAACTTTGATTTGCTTTTAATGAAAGCTCTTTCAATAAAAAACGCTTAAACTACAGTAAAAATTCTCCAAAATAATACTCTACAAAAGAATAAGTTTAAGTTGCAAAAAATTATGAGTTATAATTTTTCTTAGTCTCATCTTAAGGAAATTAAAATATTTATTTCAAGTTGTTTGAGTACAAAAATATACAATACCACACATAAAAGTTTAAGAGGAACTAAAACATTTCTCTAAAGTTGTTTGGAGCAATGCTTTAGTTTTTTTAGTTAATACCACGACTTTGAGTTTGCCGATACGTAGTACTTTGTCAACATAACACCCTTTGATTAAAGCCAAAATGTTTTTAATTTCTCAAGCATGTGACAACTTCTTGGCTTGAAAATTTTGGTATTTCCATATTGTTCTCTCTGAAATCCTATTTAGAAAATACAGCATTTATTAAGAATAAATAAATCAATAAATAACACTTTTTAACTACAGTTCTATTAAATAATACCCTATCTAAAGTTATAAAATTAATATTTCTTACTGAAGCACTTACTTACAATTGAGCCAATTAACTTAGAAAGTGTTGGGTTTTTGCTTCTTACATTTCTTGTTGGAGGTGTCAACAAGAAGGAAGAAAACTTGTGATATGGATAAGGATAAATAAGGAAGAAAAACTTCCGACGCTAGCATTACGATCCAGGGGCGTCTTGATGTCAGATCTGACTAAAACAAACAGAACACCGATTTTATAACATGTTGCCGCACACAGCGAACCTCAAATAACAATGCATCTACATGCATAATTTGGCATGTTGTCGCACTGACTGAACCTAAAATTTTTTAAGAAATTGCCTTTCTTCTCTAATTTTTGTGGCTTAATATTTTAGTTTGTGATGATTAAATAATAATTTTAGCCTAATTTTTTATTTTCGATAACTTTTTTTGAAAAGAAAATTTATGTAGATTATCTTAATTTATTTTTATGAACATTTTAGTCTTAAAATATTTAATTTCCGATAAGTAATAAAAAATCATACAAATACATAGGTATTTATAAAGTTTTAAGCTAAATTTGATTTAAATAATTTTTTAAAATTATTTTAGATGTTATTTAATTTTGGGCCGTCAAATCTTTCTTTTATAATTAGATTTGATCATAGCCATTATATTATAAGGAAAAAAAAAAGAAAAAATTGACATATAACAGTTTGGTGAGTTTAGAATAATTTAAGCCATGCTTAAATTCTGAAGAGAATCTAGCCTAGAGATATATATTTTTCCCATGACTTATTTTAGCCCATGGTTGGAGATAGTTTGGAAGGATTTTAAAGCTTATATTTTAAGCTTTACTCTATGGATTGGAAATTATCTTAGTATAAATATTATCATTTGTTAAAAAATAATAATAATAACCTACCCAGAGTTATAAATTAATATTTCTTACGTAAGCACTTACTTACAAAAGAGCCCAGTAACTTAGAAAGTGTTGGGTTTTTTCTTCTTATATTTCTTGTTGGAGGTGTCGACAAGAAAGAATAAGAAAACTACGACGCTAGCATTACGATCCAGGGGTGTCTTGATGTCAGATTTGACTAAAAGAAACAGAACACCAATTTTGTAACATGTTGCCGCACACAATGAACCTCAAATAACGACGCGTCTACATGCATAATTTGGCACGTTGTCCCACACAATGAACCTTAAAACTAACAGTGCATCTAGATGCATAATTTGGAGTTTTTTCTTGTACGGCCACGTAGGTAAACACCAAGGTTCCACATCCTACTCCTTCACCATTAAAACGACATGCTGTCGAGATATCAGACTGTGATCTTATCTCACTCATTTGCTCACAACAACAACAAACCCTTTCCCTTTGCAAGTTCTTCTGGTTTTTGCAGTGCATCAATGGCGGCTGCTGTAGCTTCAAGTGATTCAGTTTCCATACCATCTGTAAACAAGGCGTGGGTGTACCCAGAGTACGGAAAGTCTGCAGATGTTTTGAAGTTCGATCCGAATGTTCCTGTTCCTGAAATAAAGGAAGACCAGGTGCTGATCAAGGTGGTTGCTGCATCTCTCAACCCAGTCGATTTCAAAAGGATGCTTGGCTACTTCAAGGACTATGACTCTTCACCCCCTGTAGCCTCTCTCTCTCTCTTCATTTTTTTTCACTGAAGTCAAATGCAGGATTAGTTTGTGAGTTGGAGGATTTAGAAAAGTTTTAGTTTTTACCAACTTATAATTTAGTTTAATCTATTTCAAGAATCAAAGCTGATCCAGTTGATATTTTTGTTAGAATAAATTTTCTTTTTGTAGATGCACATTAGGTCAGTTTGTTAGAGCGGTGTGCTCGTTTTTCTTTAGAAGATGCGTATCAATTGGGTACAACTAATAGGTCTAAACTGCATCATAGTATGAGGATTATTTGGGCACCAAGGTGAACAGAGCCTACTATCCCCAAGCCCTTGTATAGTAGGCTACACCACGCATAGCCTTGCCTATCGATGAGGTTTTTTCCTCCCGGGGCAGGAGACCTATCCTAAACCATTGACGTCTGGCTATAGCAGTGTGTTCGTTCCTCTTTAGACGATAACACCTAAGTTTAAATCCCCACATTTATATTAGTATAAAGTATCGTCTTATAAAATAAAATAAAAATTGAAAGGTTAAGAAATAAAAAGAAACTTGCTTTGAAGAATCAAAGTTGATCTAGTTGAAGTTGAATACCAGAGTAAACGACGAACAAGACTACAGAAAAATAAGAATGTTATTATACAAATAAGAATACCATAACGGTTACAAAATCTCAAGAAACTACATTATGATTAACTTGTTCACAAGTGAATAACAAGCATCATATTTATAATAAACGAAACTCTGATCGCTAAACTCAAATAATTAACTAACCATAGAATACTAATATCTTCCAACACTTGGTCTTCAAATCCTAGTGTAAACCCGACTAACTTGTTTGCTAAAATATTAATTTATTAAATTAACTTTTTTGCAGACAGTTCCAGGGTATGATGTTGCTGGTGTGGTGGTGAAAGTAGGAAGTCAGGTGACAAAGTTTAAGGTGGGGGATGAAGTATATGGGGATCTCAACGAGAAGCCTCTCACTAAGCCGAAAAAGATCGGATCTTTGGCCGAGTACACTGCTGCAGAAGAAAGAGTGTTGGCTCTCAAGCCAAAAAATCTGAGTTTTGTTGAAGCTGCTAGCCTTCCCCTGGCCATTGAGACTGCCTATGAAGGGCTCGAACGAGTTGAATTCTCTGCTGGTAAATCCATCCTTGTTTTGGGAGGCGCTGGGGGAGTCGGAACACATGTTATTCAGGTACAATGTTAATCAAGTGCAAACATTTTCCATTAAGTTAGGCTCTAATTAAGTAAAGCTGATTGATTAATTATTCATGACACTCAATGTGTTTATGTGAGGCAGCTAGCAAAGCATGTGTTTGGTGCTTCAAAAGTAGCAGCTACAGCGAGCACGAAAAAACTTGATCTTTTGAGAAGCTTGGGTGCTGATTTGGCTATTGATTACACCAAGGA